GGTGCTATTTCCGTACGTGCGTCGATTGAGCGGGCTGGCAAGACGAATCGACGCCAAGAATTCTACGAATGATCGAACGCAAACTACATCCTTGCGAGGAAGCTTTGAACTTGCGTGTTTATAGTTTCGCGACTGACAAGTTACCGATTCTACGTAAAATTCCAACGTGAATAATTGAGGAATGAGCTACGAAATTTCAGCATTTTCGAAAGGACGATATCGACAGGATTTAATGGATAGTACACAAGTAAGAATTATTAGTTATTTATAAATTATTTACAAAAGTAAGATAAATATCATTTTACAGAAATATCAAGAGTCATTATTTGAAATCTTTCAGAATATCACTATCGAAAATTGACGATATTATTACTCAGTAGAAATATCTGAAAAGCAGAAGCTTTCAGAAATTGAGAATACTTTCGTTTGTTCCCTTATTTTCTTCTTTCTTTTCCCCTTATTTTCTCACAATCGCGTGGATTATCTTATTGGCGCCGATTGATGGATTGTCATAACAGAATTATATCCTTTCACTAGTAGAGAGACGTAAAGACCCTTTAATCAAAGTCTGGTCGTGAGATAACCTATGATTGGTTATATTTTTCGTCAAAATCGCGTTAGTCAAAGCGAGATAGCACATATCTTTTTCTTTCTCACATTGCTGCGCAGTGAGATAAAACATATCTTTTCTCGCTCGCACGATTTTGATGAAAAATATCGGTCCTTGTTATAGTCAGACTCTGATTAGTTTCTAGTCACTAACCGATTCTGAGATTAATATTCTTTTTTATATAATACGCTTAATTTTAATTTTATTTCATGTCGAATTATTTTATTCAATTGTATTTTTAAGCGAAAATTTATACTTTTAAGAGCAATAGGTTTTTTATTCATATAGTTATCGTTTATTTAGCGACAGCATAATATTATTCTTAAATCACTTGACCTAGGAATATTATAAAAAGATGGCAATTATGAAGAAATAGAAAATGGATTTTTAAATCACAGATTTATTTTGCGGTTTGAAATGTGTTTTATTTAAGCAGATTAACTCGATAAAAACGGGGTTTGTGGGTCACTTGGTGTGCGTAATGTTTATCTCTTTTAATCATACTTTAATATTTCATTTCCCAAACATAAATAATTAAAATTATTATATCGTAAATGCAATAGTTCCTAGATTAGCGTTTGCTCTCTAAAAAAAAAAAAGAATGTCCTTTATTTGAAAGTAAACGCTTTCGCTCTCTACCGCGTGCTTAGGCAGGACTGATTCGTCGCAGACGACGAAGGTTAAGGAAATATCGACGAAATCGGGGGAGAGAACAGGGCCGCGTACTGTATCCAACCGGTCGCTGTCTGTTATCGACGTCTGTTATCGACACGAGAAAGCGGTTGACAGAGTTTACCGAGTAACCGACAGCATACCAAGCCCGCAGGATGCCTCACACGGCCCGTTGTGTCCTCGAATATGACTCACTCCGATTCGTGAAGGAGCGGAAATCTTGTGTTTGTTCGAGAAAGACGGTTATCCTTTGTTGGCGCGCTTATCTATGCCCGATTGCCCCGAACAATTCGAACAATTCTCGCTCTTCTGACGTAATGCCTGATTGAAGGAAGTCGACACGCGCGATACAGGCATAATGCCACGTGTCTCGATAATCGGGTCAAATATACTTTTCAGGCAGATAGATTACGAAAGAGACTGACTCTTCATGAATAGTAAAATTGAGATATTCTTAAGGGCGCAAACACTTTGAATCCGATTATAACATTAGCAACAGATTTCAGCTTATGCATTTCCGGATGAAAGATATTTTATTACGCGTGCATCATAAAAATATTATATAAGTGAAGTAGAAACACATTATTTTCGAAGTAATTGTCCCTATCGAATACAATAACACTTTTTCCGTTTTTATGATTTTGTCGAGTTTTTCTCGATGAATGAAAAAGTAATTAATCGCTTGGATCTTTTTCAGATATCTCGAGCAACACGCACGGAATGTCAGAACGGAATTCCATCTTTCGATAACCATTTCCCGTGTTTGAAGCAATGCGTGCCCAAAGCCCCTTATCATTCTCCTGTCCGGTGTAGAGTTTGTTAGACGACTGGACGGAGAACTGATAAGGGCCCGAGGGTCACAGAATCATCGTGGGACTGGATACATTAGATGCCTTTCGTCTGCTAAATATCGAAAACATGTGGCTGGATCAATGCAGGCTGTTTATTCTTCAATTTGAATTTATATATAATAATATAAGATTTAATAATCAATCCTTATTATCGCTATTATTAATCGTTAATTTATATTCATATGTCATTAACAATTTAACAAGATAAACAAGATTTTTATAAACAGAATTAAATTTATTTAATTAGTGCAAAAATGAACAAGAACATGAATTGATTGTATCACATAAATATATGTTATATAAGAATTTATGTTTATAAATAAAAACTTAATTTATATTTTTATAGGTAATATTTCTTTTGATGAAGAATTTGTAAGATATATAATTTACACTGACGAGAGGATAAAATGAATCGTATCTCAATAAAAATCTGTTTTTATTATAAACACAATAAATAATATAAAAAAATAGTACTCCCTGTATTATTCCACATTCCTCTATATTAAGAGTGCGTCTGCGATGCGGTTTAAGGTAAACAATTGCTCGTCGAATCATTAAAATATGACACAAAAATATTATCGAGTTTATTATGGAAGATAAAAATAGAAGACGCGTAGATTTTTTGTAACTATTTTCGTTAACGTCATACAACTTGCTCTATTGCACGATAACGTATTGCATAGCTCATAGAATCGATTCATTCGTCTATTCGCTGATCGTCTTAACCACAAGAACTTCGACATTTGAATTACAAATGTACGAAAGTTTTAAGGACGATTAATTATGTTCCCGTACTCTTGGATGCCGCGTTCTCTACCTCGTAATTCGGATTTATCTGAATAATCTGTCTAGATGTAGCCTCGCACAATTTTCTCGGTTGATTTTGCACGATCAGTATCTGTTTCGTTCCCTCCGACTTCTCCGGCATAAATTGATTGACACCCACGATCTTCAATGCCGGTAGAGTTTTTATGATCGTCGCATTCGGAATCGCGAGATTCGCGGTGCCGCAATCCATCTTCGGAAGTATCACCGGATTTTTCGTAATTGACATGATCGATTTTTTCGTCGACATACTCGGGATCTCCGTTGTATAAGAGACTGACCGTTTTACAGGAACGCCATTGGTACTGCATATCGGCATCGTAAGTATCTCCGGATTGTCTACTGATATTAGCTTGGGTCCAAGAATTATTCCTATAAAATTCAAAAGATCAATTGCAACAAAATTATTGCCCGAGTATATTCTTTCTGTATGTCGGAACGAAAACAAAATATTAAAATACGACAGTAAATCACTCCAATTTAATCTTTTTTAATTAGATTACACGAACAGAGCAATAAAAGTGAGACATTTAGAAAATAAAATAGCTTTATGAATGTAAAGAATTAACATTCATGATGGAGATCATAATTAACAAACGTCCAAATTAATAACTTACCTTTTTGCATCGCCTTTGTGACCGGACAATCTTTATGAGCCAACAAAAGAGCTTTCAATCTTGCAACTTCCTTGCGTAAAGTTTTCACCTCCATCTGCAAGGCCGTGTTCGCCTCGTTTACGTTAGTTACTGTTCTTTGGAGTTCTTGAATCCACTCTTTTCTTTTGGCCCTTGCACGCATAGAACTGGCACGATTGCGCTCAAGAATGTCTTTTTTCTTAAGCTGATCGATCGTTTTCTTGATTCCCTCCTTTTTCGAAGCGGCAGTCACGTCCGTTTTCGCATAGTTTTCAATCGCCTTTTGATTCTGCGCGTTCTTAGACAGGGATTGTTTCAGCTTCTGTAATGGGATTTTAAAAAATTTATCTTGAAACGTAAATTATCACCGTAATCAGATGTTACCATTTTTGCTAATGATAATCTTGAGATCACGGTTTTCTTGGGCTCCAGTTTCATTGCGCACCGCAGAGCTGGTTCAGTTTTGATAATAACGGTTTGCTGTTCAGTATTAACGTTCGATATGTTAGAAGGCTCCGATACCGGTGTCGCACACAATTGCATTAATTTACCATCCGCGGTTTTCAATAACAACTGCACTTCTTCACCATTGATAGACCTTAGCAAAAAAAAAAGATGTTTTAAATCTATCAATAATATATATAGAATATATAAGATTTCATCGTGTACATATAATATATATATATATAATAGCTCCAATGTTTTTACATTAAGGAACACGTATTAATTATCTTGCACAAAATATCCAACAACAAAAACTTGATTGATTATTATATCTAAAAATAACTAAAATTAAAGAATTAATCATGTGTAAATTGTATCATAGAAAATATACTGAATTAAAAATCAGAGAAATTAAGGCTTATTATACGATGAAATGCATGGGCTAATTTTATAACAATAAACGGGGCATTCTTACAAGTGAGACGTAGGTTGTGTCGGTGAAAGCTTAGGCGCTATAGGTATATTTGTATTTGAAGCAATAATATCCGCTGGGAGAGTATCACCTTTCGCAGACGTGACAGTCGAATCTTTCATCAGTTCCTGCGTCTCATTTGTATTTAATTTAATACTGTTACATTCATCAGTCTTTATAGCGCTTTCCTTCTCTTCATCTTTTTCAGCAAGAGGGACTTCGACGTTGTCTTCGGAAAGAATTTGACTATTTGCAGGCAATACATCTGATATATAGGGAAAAATATGAGGAGTATGCAGTGTATCATCTGTTATTCCAGCCTATATGAAAAAATGAACCAATGTTGAACGATACCTTTTATAAAAGTAATAAAAAAACACTTATAAATACATATTACAAATTTTATGAATTATTTGAGACAATATATATGTGATTTTCTTATCTCACCTCTGATACTATAAGCGTGCCAGTATTTCCAGCCTCAACAGCCCTTCGAAATGTCTCTTCGAAAGGATTGACTACGTTTTGCAGATCTTGAAATAAACCCACTTCCTCGCAATTTTTCAAAAACCTTGTTGGTGTTGGAGTTTGATCTGCTACATATTGATTAATCGTTTAGCACATTTCTATGTCTTTTGACAATAAATGAATCAAATTTGTTCAAGTGATATCTTACCAACGAATCCAGCACTCTTAGAATTATTATTAAGATTTAGCATCATGTCATGTTTCTTTTTGTGCACTGTTAATTGATCCTCGTTTGTAAAACTCTGTAAATAAAAACTAAAAATTCTGCTGTTTCCCACATTATTATAGTTTTTTGTTATCTCGAAATAAGTTACTTTTTTTCAGTAAAAGACAATAGTTATCACATACCATATTGCAACCCGATGTGGAGCAAGCGAAGAGTTTCTCTGAGTCTGTCATTGTGAATGTATTCTGATAAACACTGGTTCCAAATTTCTTTCAAACGTAAGACGATAAAATACAGAAGTATACACAATATTAGCAGAGTAAACGTGAGTAACTCCTGTTTACGGCTATCGCTATCACGATGGAGTACAGTTACATTCTCCTTAACAAATAAATTGAATTTCTCAACCTTGAAATAACGAAATTATTTTTACAAATACACCGGATTTAATCAATAACGACATAAAAAGAATATGTTTCGTTATTCACTGCGCGAGTACTGAAAATCTATAGTTCACATTATGTGTACTAGACTTTCAGTACTTACAATGAACAACAAAACGCAGCCTTAATACTCGCTCGCAGTCATCTGCGTCGGCTGTAGCCATGTTGGCACACTACCTCCACTTCCACGACTCCATATCACATTCTACCACCACGTACCACTGCCACAAATACCACAATGCGTGCTGACATCTTGTATAAGATAAAAGAGAATCTAGAGACGACTATAGCCGGTATTATGCTCTGTCGAAGTAACATAAAAAATGCTCGAACATTTCCTTATCTTTAGTTTGTTTTTTATTCTTTTTTTTGTACTTATATCATTTTTTAACTCAAGATACACATCTTATGTGCTGGTAAATTTTTCATAAAATTATTTCATTGATAATTATAATAAAAATTACAAATAAAATAGGCTAATGAGACTGCGGTATTGTATTCAGTGCATAAATTGTTAATTTTTATTTCAACATCAAGAGTCCTGTAATTATTGTTTTCTTAATTAATAATTATAACGTGATATTAAACATAAATAATAATTGCGATATTAATTTGAAAAAATTTATATTGGCCATCACAAAATTCGAGAATGTACTTTTAAATGTTTATGAAAAATAAATATAAGATTTTTTTATTATCTTGTGACAAAAAATCATTCGCTGGTCATTCACGTCAACCATTCTATTCCAAGCCGCAGGCGCGGAATGTAAATATGGTAAAAGACCGTGAGACGTAATTGCGTAAATGACACAGAAATAGCACAGTAATGGCACAAAGTGGTGTAGAGTGTGCCTTGGCAATGACTTCAAATTTATGTATGACGTTTCATTATTCATTATATCACGTTGTTATACAGCAAATTACGAGGTTCGATTTGAAAGTAATGAAAAAAAAAATATAAATGTATTTCCTGCGTTAATTTGACAGCGATATGCCAATATGAAAACTTTTTGGAATTTACAATACTAGCATAAATTATCTAAAAATTATATAATTATTGTATATTAGGTGTAGTAAAAAGTCATCGCGTATTTTTTAGCTCAAAGTTGTATATACAATATCTTCGTCAATAATGAATGAAATTCAAATTTAAAAAAAGGGTTTTAAAGCTTGAAATCTCTACTTTTAAAAGCTTATCACATTTTTTAAGTTTATATGAGTTTGATAATTTTTACATACCAAAAACTACGAGCTGAAAAAGACGAAAAATTTTCTTCTCACTTTGTGGATTTGTAACGTGTCCAAAACGAATTTGAGAAAATTTTCGATTACATATCGTGAAAGCTTGATACTTTCCCTACAAAATCGTTTTTTTTTTAATATTCCTACGACTTTTGATTACTGAGTTATCGCGGATTAAATAAAAGAATTATTTTGACTTTAATTGCTCATAACTCCATTAAAAATTGTCGTATCGTATAATTTAAAAAAGAGATTTTTAAAGCTGATACTTTACTCTATGAAGATATATTTATATTGTTGGTAAGAAAGTAATTGCGGTTTTTACTGATAGATGTCTTTTAAAAAAACGCGATGACTTTTTACTACACCTAATAATTTAATGAAAACTTGAATCAATGATTCACAAACCAATATATCAATAAAATATATCAAAAATTTATAAAGATTTGATTTTTATTTTTATATATTTACTTATATTTGATTCTACTAGACATATATAGTTACATATGTGTATCTTATTAGATAAAAATATAACAAATGGAATATATTCTAGACATCAGAAAAAGAAAGTTCCTTCCGTTTGTCATCTTCGCAAGAAGTTATAATTACTCACTGCGTAAATAAGCAGTTATAGAAAACCGCGTGTCGTCGTGTCGATCAAGAAATAATCTCTACGTGACAATATTTCAATCAAAATGAAATTTCGCGCAGAAAAAAAAAAACAGATTGTCCTTCGCGATTGTAGGCTCTCTGTGAAAGTAAGTTTCGGGATTACGAAGCTTACGGATAGCGAATCGAACAACAGCGATGTAGTTTACATATATTACCATAATTAGCGTCTCGCTAAGAACAAATCTATGCCAAATGCGTAAGAATGGGTAATTAAAATAACAATCGTAATTTATGAAACACGCAGTGATTTTTAAGAAATACAAAAATAAAGTATAAAAGAACAAATTAAACTTCAAATGTTCACGATTCAGAAATAAAACAATCAAACAGAAAGAAATAGGACAAATTAAAGAGCATTTAATTTTCAATTAAACAAATATATTAAATTAAATAAATTTACAATTAAATAATTTACGATTAAAAAGACATTAATTACAGAAGAAAAGCATATAAAAACTTGTTAATGTGCTAAGTAAAAAAACAATGAGGAAAAAGATCTGGTTAGAAAGTGATGAGTTCCGTCGAATGCTTTTTATCCGAAAGGAACGGATGTAAAAGACTCTCATTACACTTCGTCGTAATTTCACTGGCTAGATAGAAAAGGAACGCTTTGAGCGCCTTGGGTCCATCTGGAGAGAGTGAGAACAGGGCAAAGAGAGTGGTCTCAGATGCTGATATTTCTGTTCCTCATCAGTAGTTAACCGCGTGTCGCGGTGCTCTATTCATTGGCCCGTCGAACGTGACCACAAACCGTGATATATGAGTTCTACCGCGCGAATTTCTCAGACAATCAAATTTCGAATTAACATTACAACTACCCCGCATTAACAAAGACATATTCATGAGGTGAATTCATCCCGAAAGTCCCGTAAGTGTGTAATTCCGCAAAGTGATCGGGTACTCAAGCGCAAGAGTGTGTACAATTGTATAATATCGATAATATTACATTTTTAAAAAGGTAGGAATACGAAGATAGAAAAGATACTGAATTACAATCTATTTTATTCTTTTGTTAAAATAAATTGCAAATTAATGTTCACTTTTTTAAAAAATAAAAATTTGTAAAGCTTCATTTTAAAACGAATATCATGTACAGATAAAACTTCCTGTTTACTGATATTTAATTTAATCATCAATTTTAAATTTCTTTAGATCAGAAATGTTTAATGCATCTACATTTATATGATTTCTTTGTGTTACTTGAAATTCCCAAAAAATTTTACGCTTAAAACGAAATAAATATATAGTTGGACGAGAGAGAAAATGAAGATTCTTAGTGCAAAAAGTGCAAGTAACACGAATAGACTTATTATTTCTATTACCTTCTCTAATATTTATAATAAATAACGCCAATGGTTATCGTTTTAACTGTGATAAACGATAAACGATAATCTATTGGAAAAAAGTATGACTTTCGCACTTTCCCATCTCTCTTGCGAATGTCATATCGTGATCCAACGAGAGATCTCAAACTTGCCTTCAACCTTGATCTTGATAGAAATCCAGGTGAGACTGTCGAATCGGATCGCTGCACGTGCTTTCGATTCTTTAGAACGTGACGATCGATGCCATCGTTGCGACAATGTGCTTGCTCGTTTGTAAAAGAATTTCTCTCTAATTCCTTGATATCAATTAACGCGTTTCGTAAACATGTGCCTCGCTACAATTTTTCTCTTTTTGGGACAGTTTGACAGTCATCGACCGAGAATTTACAGTTTTACGCTTGAATGACTTAATATATCTATATAAATTAAATAATATATCTTCTAGATATATTATTTATCTGAATAAGTGTATCCAATTTTCCATTACTTATTTAGATAAATACATCTTTTATGTATGCATATATGTTTATATATAACATATCGCTTATTTGCTACACAATGACATAACTAATACAAAATTATAATTTTTTCGTTGCTAGCAAAAAGAATGAAAACATAATGAAAAAAAGAAAAGCATACTTTAAAAGTACATACCTCTACAATCAGTTATTACATTTTAAAATTGCATTTCGAAATTAAAATTGGAAAATTTTTATGATTCAAAATATTCAAATTTATTTTCTGGAAAATTTCGTTCTCCAATTAATGCCGTTATTAAAACAAGTAAGTAATATAATTATATATTAAATATAAATATATATAT